ATGCTCGATTAAACTTCGCTTTTTTCTCCCGTCGTGTTTTTCCTCGCTCTCGTGGACACTGTCGTCGACGCTCGGATCGAATACCGGTGAACGAGACAGCTGTTTTCCTCGGAATCGATTGCCACGGGTGGAAGACTTGCTCGCAACAACGAGGGGAGACGATCGTATCCGCGCGCGGATAGTTGCGTGGCGCCCTCTTTCCCGAGGAACACGTCTAACGAGTGGAACGAACCGGCGAAATTGTTGTATCGATTTAACGGTACGACAAGCTTGTTGTACATTCTGTTTGCGCCATTGACGAATTTGTGCTGTAACTGAGTTACAGCGCGTGTCCCCGTACGTTAGCGTGGCGGAAAACGAACTACATACTGCGTGTACTTACGGGCAAATTTGCATGCTTATGTTTCATTATGCTGGCTGTAATACAGACGTACGTTTTGTATAATATTTTCTACAGTAATAAATATTATGTAATGCTCCTTAATGAGCTCCTTAATGTGTGCAGATAAGAATAACATAAGGGCAAATCATAGGGATATTCGCTATCTCTTCGAATCTTCGGTATTATACAATGTTTATATTTGTATTTTTATTTCGACAGCGTACACTTAAAATTCATTTTCGTCGATTGATATAGCATTTGATACCGTGAAGCAAAAAAAAAACTATCTTTTTTTTTCTCTTTTTTTCCTATATAAATGTTACAATTTCAAACTGTAGTATGACAAAAAAAAAAGAGTGGTCAAATATCTGTCAGTTCTGACGTAGATAAAACAATGGAATTACTACAATGCAATGTTTATAGTTGAACTCTATCATAATTACTAAACGTGTATCTAATACGTGTGATTGGAAAAATAAAAGCGTGCCTAGCAATATGCGAAAAGAATTAAGCATTAAGCGGGATAGATCGTGTAGAGTTAATTTTCGAGGGAAGTCGGAGGAAAATTACCAGAGGAACTCAATTCTCAGCTCCGGTGCTTTTTTTCTCTTCTCCTCTTTTTCCTTTTTAAAGCGAGCGCGTCCAAAGTCGTTTATTGCCTGCAGTCTCAAGTAGCCGACGTTCTGTCGTTTTCCCGGAGGGGCAGACGGAAGAATATGACGCGGAAGCAAGCCGTGGGAGTAATATGTGTTTTATAATGCGCGGCGCGGGGGATGACGGGGGCGGCGGGGAGGGGAAGAGAAAAAGATAGAGCGAGGAAATGTTTTCGCGACCCGTGTGTAGTACCGTGCGGGGAGCGGCAAGTCGGCAGTCTCCCTTAATAATCTCACATTCTTAAACACGTCGACTTAATTTGCATTTTAACCGCGTGGCTGAAAAAAAAAGGGAAGAATTCCGTCGTTTCCAGAGACGTCCGGCGACGACGACGGTGACGTCGGTTTACCCGTCTGGATTGGCGAATCTACCGCGTGTCAGGAGGGCATGAATTTTTATTCCTCGCGTCATCGGATAACGCTCGGTCTTCCTCTCGCTCTTTAAAGTAGGGAGACGCTGATCTCCGGTGACCGTTGATCTCGAGCTGACCGGTTCTCCCGATGTCAGGAGTAATAAAAGGATTACCCGCTCTCTCGGCACGCTGAGCAAATACGCTGGATTTCCGACGGAGAAAGTCGATCGTGAACTTTCATCGTGTTTTTACGCGCAAATCTGATATCTCGCTGGAAAGGATAGCCAATCTTATCTTGTCTTATCAATTTGAAATTAAATACAAATTACAATTTTGTCGTTAGCGTTCTGCAAATGTTAATAATAGCTTCACTGACGTATATTAGCATCAAGTGTAGTTCGGTATATTTTTACACTTTTACATTACAACGTAATGAGACAAGGATTATCGAAACGTGCTGCAATTAATGTCGTTTGCACTATTGATTCCCAAAAGAAGCTATATTATGGGAATTGCTAGAAATATACACACTTGTAAATAACACATTTTAATTAGCGCAAGTCAGAGGTGTTTTTCTGGCGAATCGAGTAAGGTAAAATTATTAAGTAATCCTGCAAGACGTTTTTACGGCGATCTTTCTTAATACTCTTTCACGAGTCGTTGCGTCCCTCTCGAGATCTACGTTTTATTAAGGGTCCTTGCCCCCACTACATATTCGTGCACATACGCTTATCCATTTGCAAATGCGTCAGTGTTGGATCCCCACCATACTTTGACATGCCCCACTCCGACTCCTTTCCTAGCCCTTTCGTAGAATATAGTGGTGGGGTGCGATTAGATGGACAGGGGAAGGTTAGATGAAAGTTTAGATGAAAGTTTAGATCACGTATGCAGGGTGCGTCAGCCCCTGCGGCGCGTAGAGATTTGTCCATGTTAAGAGGATCGTATCGTATAGTCCAGTCTAAAGGATATTCTTTTATTTTGCAGCTACAGTTAACAGCGCTCTACATTTAATCGATTTTTATGACGCGTGCTTTTTTGCAGACAAATTACAAGTATCAAGTTTTGCGAGTTACAAGCGCTTTTAGACTTTCTTTTTTTTTTCGTCCGAACTATAATTGTACGTTTTTTATATAAAGTCCGACAGCTGAACTCGCGCGCAACTTATCTGCAACGTTTAACATTAGCGTTTAATTGTGTCTTAAATATTGATCAACAACGGAACGGAAAACAAGTATTTTAACGATGCTAAAAAGATATATTGCATTTATTGCTCGATCGGTCTTGCTTGAATTTCAGGAATATTAAAATAAGTAGAAATGTATCGATATGATCAGATATTATAATTTAAAACAAACAAAGCGTAAATTATTATTTAATAAAAAGCTTTATCGCCGGTCGTGGCGCTATTTTGAAAAGTAAACGCTGCGGTTTTCTACGTACACGCAACAGCGCCATCAATTATCCTAATAACGCTATTTAATCACGAGCAATTACTTGGATATATGTATGCATTTCGGCATGCTAGCGGAGCAGTGTCGCGCGGCGCATTAGAAATCCTTAGAGCTTAAAAGGACAACAATGCGGCGGAACATACAGAGCGACTGTTCCTCGGAGAAACCACTCAAAGGGTTTACAAAAGCATAACCAGCCAGCGCGCTCGTTGCAGAGAGAACGCGAATAAATGCATCGCGGTAATTATCAGGGAACGGGACAAGTGAGTAACAACGCTGCTCGTAGTTCTAACAAACTTTCGCATTTAATTATATGCCCTGTCTCTTGCGATCGCGATTGCAACGTTCGCCGGGATAAATGGGCCACGATAGAACCATTAAAAATCCCGAAGATTAAAAGCGATATTAAATGCGTCTGTCATACGCCGATCGTCGCTCCGCAACTTCCGTTTCGGTGCATCCGTATCGATCGCCAACAACCGCTGTCTCTAATCAATTTTTCAAGATTTCTGCGCCTCGCTTTTTATCGCCAGCCATCATCTTTCAAACTATTTGAAGGGAAAAAAAAATTCACAAAGGATGCGTTAGAAGGAAGGGGAGGGGGAGGGGGGAGGGAGGGAGGAGGACGGAAACCGAGGGTGGCTCGCGGCTGTCGAAATTTCGAAAAAAAGCATCTCCCTTTTCCGTGCATTTCGCGCGTAGCCGCGCTTCGCGGCTGCGCCGACGTTGCATCGCGCATTATTTAATGGACGGTTTTTCGCTTTGTTCGGCCGACTCATTAACCGCGGGGCCTCCCGATTGTACTTTGCGCCCGTTCTCCGCTGCACCGGAGAACCGTGGCTCGTTGTTCCGGAGGGTGGGACGTCGCAGGGGGAGGAGGGGGCGGGCGTCGCCGGGGGGATGAAGTGGAGTGGAAGAGAGTAGCGCGCGCGCGGGGGGACGTGCAGTCGCGTCGTTGCATAATGAACAGGACGCCGGCACCCCCAGGCCCCCGTTCTGCCTTCACCGAAACCCCCCTTGTCTCCCCGTAGGCGCCTCACTCGCGCGCCCTCATCCCCGTCCTTTCGTTCTCTCCCGTGCGACCGCCACCCCGCCCACCCTCTCGCCCTCCTCAACCCCCCAACTCCACCCCTCATCAACCTATTATTTCTCCGTATTACGTTACGTCGCGTTACGTTACGTGCTGCGTCGCTGTTCGAGACTCGGCGGAACGGCAAAAATGATGATACCTTCTCCTAGAAACAAGAGCACGAGATCGCCACGAGGACGCAACCGGCGCCCACATGCCGCTCATCATCCCCCGGTTTCTTGTTTCCAATCGAATGGTAATGCGATTCAATCTGCATCTTACGAGTGTGTTTCAGAAACTATTAATAAATTAGCTCTTTCCGCGAACGAAATGCCGCGTAGAATGAGAAAAAATTCGGAGAATTGATTCAGCATTTTTTTTCAAAATACGAAAAAAAATGCTTTTCTCATCATTGCATCAATGATGCACTTTTTTTTTTATAGCATTACGGTGAAAAATTAATTATCATGACACATCGGACTTGCCGAAGTCGCGTCTTAACGTCGCGAATGCACTCTTCCGAATTTGTCTCTATTTTTATGTGTAACGCGCGCGGAGCTAATTAGCGGACGGCGTTGCGCTGCCAGGCAACGATAGAAAGTTACCTGGAAAACTCGCTAAAGCGAATCTAGACAGTCTTTTTTATAGCGGCTTCTCTTTCGCCCCTCTCGCCCACCCTCCTGTTCGCGCCGTGTATCCCAATTTAGCACTCCCTTTTCTTCGCTCTCATTGAAACGTTGGACAGACGTCCGTGGATTAATGCAACGTTTCGTGACGTCGGCTGGGCGCATAGCGGGTAATACGATAGTGAAATTTTAATACCGTGGCGCATTTTTTCCCCGACTACGTACCTTCCTGCGTGGTAGAGTATTATCCGCTTTTTCAAAAAATATTTTATGCGCGGCACGACTCCGCCGTAATGCGGACGCGTGTAAAACAATTACGACCAAGTTAAATAATCAAGGGACAGATCTTGAAAAGGAAGATCCTTCAACGTCGAAATGTTTCTGCCGACGCAGCGTGCGGATCTCGCTCTTCGATCATTATCCCACGCTGTCTTTTCACAAGCCGGTGATTTTTTTGTTGCAGACGGGATGAACTTTGCCAATCAGGTCCGGTCTTGGAAACGACTCTTTAGTAGCAGACATTCTCGACAGAGACACGTTGGTGGCCGGTTCGTCTGCGACCATGAAACCGCTTCCGGGTTTTCGGGCGTTGTTCCGACTGAATTTGGAAAGAGGACTGTACGATGAGGATGGAACGCAACTTTACAACATGGACAGACACGTACAGGCATGACAGGGTGCTGCCCTCTGCAAGCTAAAATTAGAGGGTGCTGTCCGAAGTTCTCCGCTACACGTTTGCATTTCCTATGCACTATTTCCCACGTGTAGGTGCGTACAGTCCCGCGCAAAAACCGTCCCGTTTTGCCCGGCGCCGACGCGCGTGTACAGAATTTATCAGCTTATCGCCGATTGATTTATTGCGCGCAAGGAAAGTAAAAAAAATGCGTCGAACCCATGAATGAAACTGTTTTCCCTCCTCCCGTCACCCGTTTACATGCGCGCGCAATCGTATCGCTGCGACTTTTTATTTGATAATATTTTATGAAAGCGATTTGTTAACACGCGCAGTTGTCACCAAGTGTTTTCTCGGCTGATTTGCGGTTTGTTATTATTTGACATAACTTACGGCATGTATATAGATCAAAGATTTAAATACTGAATGACAGCGAATGACGGTAAGATCGAATTTTAATTAATACAAGTGCTAATTCTGTATCTATCACATCATCTATCAATATTGTACATCATTAATGACGTATCAGCAATGATTAAACAAGAATTTTCTTTAGAAACTTTAAATAGATCTGCTCTATCTATTTCTTAATATTTATTAAAATATTATCACATTAATCGAATCAGGATAATTGAATTGGTGGTGAGGCTATTTTGTGCCCTTTCTATCCATCTATTTAAAGTGGTGTGCAAAGTGCATTGGAGTAAATATTACTCCAATGCACTTTGCACACCAGCTGTCTCGAAGGCAATTTTGAGATCGCATTGTTAAAAATACTACATGTTGCCTTTTTCAAGATTCGTCTACGACGAGATCATCCTGGAAGATTGCATCTTGCGATCGCCGGCGACTTTCGCGGAGGACTGTACGCGCGTACCCTCTCCAGAGGCATTAGACGCAGTGTATCGGCGGCCGTGCTCGTGCGCGAGTATTAGACACCATGCCCGCAGCTCATTTGCCAACTCCGGCAAATTTACCAAATTTAAATGCAAAATCGGCCGGTGCTCCGCCGGTTCGATGGAGGCGCGAGCGAGACGGCGACTGAGCGGCGCGCGGGAGAGACGAGGAGGGAGGAAGGCGAACAGAGGATACGAGAGACAGAAAGATAGATACAGGAACGCGAGGCGAGCGTGCGAGCGAGAAAGGATGGTCGGTACGAGGAGGAGGGTGGTGGCGGCGGCGGCGGCGGCAGCGGCGGCGGCGGCACGAAGAGGTAGAGACGAGCGAACGAGACGAAGAGAGAAAAGCGAAAAGCTCGAGCGAGAGCGAAATATAGATAGATAGAGGTACGATAGTGGTGCCGGAGCGAGAGGATGGGAGAGGGATGGAGAGACAGAGACCGCGGTAGGAAACTCAAATGGTCGCAATGGTGCGGTATAGTAGTCGCCTGGTTGTCAGGCGCAGCATGCGATTGGTTCGCCGACCGTGTGTTACCTCTCTCTCCTCTTTGCGTGTCTATTCGCTATCGTCTCTCCTTCTTTCACATGTCGTATTTACTGCTCCGACTTTCTCGCGTTTCTCTCACCCCGCATCGCGCCCCGCACTCCCCCCCCCCCCGCGTTTCGTTGCTGTCGCGCGAGGCCTGTCCGCGATCCTCGAGGCGGGCTTGACGTCTTCGACAGTCGGGCAAGGAAAAGTTTCGCGACAAGCTCCCGCCGGGAATGGAAAAGGTCGGCTCGCGTCGAGTAATGCATCCACTCGTGAAAGAGTCGCTTCCTCTTTTTTAATGCGCAAGTTTAGATAGTTAAGCGCCAAGGCTCTTTTTGTCACGCCACGGCAATTTGCGCTGTGTGCGTGTCGCAGCGGCAACGAAGCCGCCACAGAAGCACACATTTGTCGCGGCGCGGTCTCTCTTTATCGAAATATGAAATAAATGCGATAGATATTATTAATGTAGAATAAATAAACGCTTCTCGTCTTTCACATTTTTCCTCTCTCTAATAAATTACATAAGATTAATTAAAGCTGTTTTGCGCACTATAACGACTGTTTAACGGTGAAATTAATAATTATCATTCTCCGAAAAAAAGTTAAAAAATTGCTATTAAAAGAATATTTCTATCTTTTCCGCGATTTCGTAATGAATGTTAATTTTATTATTTACGAAATACATCTGTACCACATTTATTCCACACTGTAACAATTACCTGGATTTATATCCTATACATTTCGGTCCAAGTATTTCTTTTTAGTCGTTGTCGGAGCGGAAACGGCAAAAAACTGCGTATATATCTGGCCGGTTCGCTGGAGCTGCGTGTAGATATAAAAACATGCATGGGATGGTCGACGCTCGATCGGCGGATTGAGCGCGGCGCGGCGCGGCGCGGCACGCGGCGGCGCGTTTATTCCGCGTAGAAGAAGATACGTTACCGGACGCATCCGATTTCGAAGCGGATCTAAATCCTCGGCGGAGAAAACGGCCCGCACTAAAATCGTCAATCAATGTCTCACGCTCTTGCCGCGCCCCCGCCGCGTCACGCCGCGTCCATCCGCGGCCTCCACCGTCCGCCGCTTTCCCCCGCTCCCCGGCACCGTCGATCGCTCGTCGTCGCGCAAGCACACACAGCCAAAGGGTTGCCAATTATTATTCGCGGTACACTTCGCACCGTTTTGTTGTTCATCGGCAGCGCCATTTATTATTCATCGTTCATCATATTGCGGTGCCCGTTACAACGCGCAGTTACAACACGACGACGGGCAGAATACGCCGGGGCTGGCGTTGTTTCGCATAGCGTTACAGCGTTACGCCGACGTTACGAATGGCACAGAGGGCGAGAGCGCGCGCGTGTGTGCCTCCGCTTACCCGTGCTCTCGCGCGCTCGCCCGCGCTGCGCGCGTGTCGGTACACCGCGTGTACGCTCGTCAAAATACAAAGTGAACACGAGTCCGCCATGGGGACGTTTATTGTGCACTCGTACGTTGTTTTATCGGCGTTACATTACGCGATAGTTTTCAGCACTCGTCCCCTCCCTCCCCACCCGCGCTTCTTTTAATAATGCGCATTACGATAATATCCCTTTGTGGCCGGAGCTTGGACGGGTGGCGAATGGGTGGCGGATGGGGTGGCTGGGAGGAAGGAGGGGGGGAGGAGTAGGCGAGTACCACCGCGGTTTTGATATTTATACGTTTAGCGTCGGGTTCGCGAGATGAGCGAGTGTAAAATTCGCCGACCGTGCACGGTTCTTACTCGGCGATAATTATTTTGTAATTAAGCCCGCGCCGATGGTTATCGGATGTTGGTTTAGCGCGACTTAATCCACGCCGATGCTTCCGAAGAAATTTCCGCGATATACATTTATTACGTTCCGATTACGTGTATGACACTAAACAGAGAAGTTAATTATAAATTGACAGGTTGCGAGCGTGAATTTTAATTAAAACGAAGAAGCGCAAATATTTGCGGAATCCATCTTTTTTCGCGCACGAGACGCTCTCACACACTAATTTTAACAAGATTCAGGGTGTCGCGCGAACGAATGTCAACGTTCGCATTGTTTATTTTGAGCATAAAATATTTTTGATATGTTAATTCCTCGCTGCTAGCGCAGATAACGTTGAAACATACATCTGCAGCGTGCGTTCACGCTCAGCGCATATGAAATTTATGTGTGATCGATTGGAAGCGCGCGGATTTGCTTAGTCGTATAGAAAATTACTAAAGACGCGGGATTACTAGCGTGGATTTTTAATATACTCTTGACTATGCTATTTATAACATTAGCCGTATTAAAAATTTTAACAGTTGCACCGACGTTGCGCTATAATTTCAAGGAATGCTACACTTACGAAGAATATTGCCCACATATTTTAACGTGTAATTATATGCAGCCGTAAATGCAAAGTGCGAGTGTTATAAGGACTCATAATTCAAGGAATGCGTGTGCTCAAATTTAGAGCCAGTCTCGCCCAGTAAATTCGGAGCGCGCGGAATAATGAGGACGAATGTCGCCGGCATAACTGGAAAGAGAAAAAAGTCTTGGACGGCCAAAGTTTGGTATTAATAGGGGAAATCCGGAATGCGCCCGACACTGAGAATATATCTCCGTCACCCCCTCTTGCCTTCTCGTTTCTCCTCCAGTGGTGTAATTTTAAATTGCCGCGAAATTTACGAGAACCCATTTCCGCATATTCCTCTATTGCTCTCTTTCGCTCCATGATTATACTAAGTTCATGAAATAATAAGCAACGTCAAACTTTCGCTTTTCGTCGGTATGTCGTATGTGAAACGCGACGTATGAAACGCATTTGAAAATTTCAAGTATATGAAATACAACGGAATGACCTTTGCATTCGGAAACGTACTACGAAGTGGTCCTCACAATTTTGTGTGCGAAATTTTTAAACAACCTTGTTGAACGCATCGCATTGAATATTCAATGTTGTCGAACTATATCTCAATATATAATATGTAATGTGGATAATCGTTCTTCCTGTATCGTTTCTTCTGTTGGACATTATTAATATCATCAACAATAAGTACAGCTTTTTACTCTTGTAAATCTTTACAAAAAATCTCACTCGCACTCTAAACGAAATCTGTCTTCGCGATTTTTCCGCATCGATACGGACAACTTTTAAACATAACTTGGACCGCATCGACCGAACAAAGTAATTTAACACGAATTAACATAAATCACTCAAGTTTCGTTCGTGGTTATTCACTCGCTCGCGCGTTCGTCCGTTAGCTCGACAGTTCGCCATCCCTCAACCAACTCCGACCGCCACCCATCAGTGTTACCCTCATCCGATCCGAGCCAACGGCCGATTACAACGTCCCGACAGAAATTTTCAATTTTCGAACTTTACAGCCACGGGCTCTCGTACTTGTTCGAATAATTTCCAATCGAGTGATTCCTTCCGCAATATCTTCGGTCTTCCGCTTCGCGTCAACATCGATGAGTTTACAATTTTCTATCGCGACGCGCTGCGAATGCTCGATCTGCCAACTGTCAATGCAGCACGATAACGAGGTCAAGCATGCGGCAAAAGAATTTGCGCACGTTTCCCTGTATGTTATAAATTATATAGCAGAATACAGCAGAATATATGATAATTCATGGCAGATTGAAAAATATGGACTGAAAAATATCAGCTTCGATAAAATGGATGCCATTCTCTTTCATAACTTTGTAATATTCAGCATTTAATATTTTTGTAATAAACAATTAAATAGTACAGTTCTGTTCAAATTTATTAATAACACAAAAATTAATAATAAAATAAGATTTTATTATTCTTTCTTTTAATTCGGCAATCTTTGATATCCTGCAATATATTTCAGTTTCTAGGAGATACTTGTTTCGTCGAAACGCTACAAAGAATCTAGATATGTGCAATATTTAACGGTGACAAAGACTATCACATATATAAAAGTTTGTTACTATAAAAAGGTTGGCTGTTTCTGATACATCAAGAAAAAACGAAAAAGGGGGTGCTAAAGATTTGGGGTTAGCGAGGGCGGGCACGATTTATTTTTTTACCAGCGCTCATCTACGAGAAAGGTACGGGCAGGCATGCGGGCGTCATTAACGCCAACCTTATCCGTTTCCCACATGCGTCTCACGGACGATCCTCGCTCTCTTCGAGCTTTATTAACCATTTGCGGCGAGAGCTATCCAATAACCGCGCGGCCAGCCAGTCATTCCTTTTTATTGTCTCGGATAAAGCCAGGTGTAGCACCTTCATTTGCAATGACGCGCACGTACACCGATCGGCTTTACGACACCCAAGATGCATCTCTCTCGTTCGCGATCTCGATACTGCAGTAAATGCCATATCACGATCGTTCGCGAAGCTTTATCGACAATTTTCGCTGCGACACGGGAATATAATGTTAGTTTATTGAAGAAGAGACGAATATAACATTTAAACTTTGTTGCGTGCAGTAAAATATAGTAAGACTTGAATAAGAGACAATCTTTGTGACGGTTAGATTCTGTTTTTCGAAGACGGTTGAAACTTTTGGAGATGATCTTGTTCTCAAGACCGGTTGGAAAAAGAGCAGCCGTCTTTAACGAAACAAGTTTCTCTCCCGTGGACTCCCATGTAAGATTCACGCATATAGCTTAAGATGAACGTATTCTTTCGTATGCAAATTGCGCTGCATCATTCCTGATGATGTGAAATTTGTTGATATACTAAAAATATAAATCGAATTTCACTACAAACAAGATGCGACGAAAGAGAAATGTTTGAATGCATTATTATATGCTGTAATTCTGGAATATTGAATATTTTATCAAGATTAAAATTAAAGCATTTTTCTAAATATTATATATATATATATATATCGCCATTTCTTTTGAAAGATATCATATTTTTCACATAAACGCAAACATTTCAATAAATAAATAAAGTATTAAATGCATTCATAAACGAATTTATCCAATAAAATAAATTCATTAACCAAATAAAATTATAACTGGATCGATATACTACAATGACATTCCTTCCCTTCGACTCTACTGCGAGAAGCGTAACGTTTCGGACTATTTCGAGAAGCGATCTTTAGAGAATTAGCGTCCTTTCTGTCTGGCATAAACGAGCAGCAGCCGTTTATCACGAAACGAGTTTTGAAACTGTGGACCACCGCGGACTCGTTTCTCCACAAAGCGGCGTAAGGGATGACGCGTTTCGCCCAGGGAGAGAACTCGTTTTCTCGCGAGAACACGTCGCTGGACCGCGAGAGATGCTTACATCTCCTGCGGGGATGCATTGTAACGGTAACGGCGGCAGCCCCCCAGTGGACGGATGGGTGATCCAGTTTTTTGGAAGGAACCAGACGAACCGGTGCAGACCCCACCTGGACCAGAGGACCCCCAGCCGTCATTCAGGTTTTCAAGCTCGCCGGCGAAGCCCTTTGATATTTAGATTCGACAGCGATTCACGCGATCGCAAGGATCGCGAATCGCCTTTGGCGCTTTTGAGCTCTCAGTGTCGTCGCGGTCGCGTAGTCAAAGAGACGGAAACACGAAGGTTTTTTCGGTAAAAGAGAGTAGAGTCGGGCTCTATCTCCGGCTGACATTCCACGGACAAAGAATTCTTCTGATCGCGCGAGTTGATGCATTGTACAAAATATGGGCGCTCGTGTGTTATAATCTTTCGCTCCGATTTATATTTCACGAGGTGAGTGTAGATATTCACGGTGATGTTATATCGGGTATCTCTACATTGGCGTGAGATTAGGATCGCGGTGACAATAGTAGTTCGTGCCTTTCCATCTACTAAATGTACATTGTCATTTTCTATCGAGACACATTAATTAGAAAAATTAAAAAAGATATACACTTCTAGAAAAAAAAATGATTGAAATAATAAAGTTTTTTTCTAAAAATTGATTGATTACAGTTAATCTTACAATACAATCTTCTTGTATCATTTTTTGTGCTTATATTTGTTTGATAATTATGATAAAATATATATATTTATACATCACATTCATTAAATGTATGTAATAAAACCATTATTTTGATAAGTTTTGCCTTTTAATTAATTATTACTAATTCGATATGTTTTACATCCAAAATTGTAAGACTTTTTTCAGCTTTTAGCTAATTAAGACACGCCAATATTCATATCAACATATTATTTGCTTATTACTGTTGAAGTTACGCGGAAATATTTTTCCTAGATTCTTGTTTCTCTTTGATTTGTTCCTGATATTTGCCGATTGACACATCCTTAAAGCAGAAAAAGTGGAAATAGCATACACAAGTAAAGCGCTTAAAAAGAAAGGAAGATTGGCGTGCTAATAAATCGGTAAATCGCGAGTTAATTCCGTTACGTCGGGGTGATTCTGAGCGATTCGTTCGAATAAAAAAGGAGAAGGCTCGCGCGCGCAGGCCAGATGCAGGAAAAAGGAAGAAAAGTGAACGCTGCCGGGACGCCGGCGCCGGCGAGAGCGGCTTTAAAGTGATCTCGACGAGTGAGAAAAAAGAACGCGTTGCGGGATGATGGAACGGCGAAATAAAAAACGAGAAAAGATCGAAGAATTCGATAAACCTCGAAGCAGCCTAAAGAGCTTAAATTCGGACGCTGCATCGCG